ATGCCTGTTCACTTCCTAAATTACCAATATATATAAATTAAATGATTTATATAGCCTAAATAAAATATATAAATAACCAGTGTTGGGGAAGCTACTTTGAAACTGTAGTTTGACAAGCTACAAGCTACTCGTAAGTTAAAGTAGTTAAACTACAGTCAAGCTACCCTTTTGGAAAAGTAGTTAGCTACACTACAAGTTACGATCAAAAAGTAGCTAGCTACATTGAAACTACTTTTGCTTTTTTTGAACAACATACACTCACCGGCCACTTTATTAGGTACCCCATGCTAGTAACGGGTTGGACCCCCTTTTGCCTTCAGAACTGCCTCAATTCTTCGTGGCATAGATTCAACAAGGTGCTGGAAGCATTCTTCAGGGAGTTTGGTCCATATTGACATGATGGCATCACACAGTTGCCGCAGATTTGTCGGCTGCACATCCATGATGCGAATCTCCCGTTCCACCACATCCCAAAGATGCTCTATTGGGTTGAGATCTAGTGACTGTGGAGGCCATTTTAGTACAGTGAACTCATTGTCATGTTCAAGAAACCAATTTGAAATGATTAGAGCTTTGTGACATGGTGGAAGTAGCCATCAGAGGATGGGTACATGGTGGCCATTAAGGGATGGACATGGTCAGAAACAATGCTCAGGTAGGCCGTGGCATTTAAACGATGCCCAATTGGCACTAAGGGGCCTAAAGTGTGCCAGGAAAACATCCCCCACACCATTACACCACCACCACCAGCCTGCACAGTGGTAACAAGGCATGATGGTTCCATGTTCTCATTCTGTTTACGCCAAATTCTGACTCTAACATCTGAATGTCTCAACAGAAATTGAGACTCATCAGACCAGGCAACATTTTTCCAGTCTTCAACTGTTCAATTTTGGTGAGCTCTTGCAAATTGTAGCCTCTTTTTCCTATTTGTAGTGGAGATGAGTGGTACCCAGTGGAGTCTTCTGCTGTTGTAGCCCATCCGCCTCAAGGTTGTGCGTGTTGTGGCTTCACAAATGCTTTGCTGCATACCTCGGTTGTAACGAGTGGTTATTTCAGTCACTGTTGCCCTTCTATCAGCTCGAACCAGTCTGGCCATTCTCCTCTGACCTCTGGCATCAACAAGGCATTTCCGCCCACAGAACTGCCGCTCACTGGATGTTTTTTCTTTTTCGGACCATTCTCTGTAAACCCTAGAGATGGTTGTGCGTGAAAATCCCAGTAGATTAGCAGTTTCTGAAATACTCAGACCAGCCCTTCTGGCACCAACAATCATGCCACGTTCAAAGTCACTCAAATCAACTTTCTTCCCCATACTGATGCTCGGTTTGAACTGCAGGAGATTGTCTTGACCATGTCTACATGCCTAAATGCACTGAGTTGCCGCCATGTGATTGGCTGCTTAGAAATTAAGTGTTAACGAGCAGTTGGACAGGTGTACCTAATAAAGTGGCCGGTGAGTGTATATTATAAATAACTGAATAAGTGTCTGAGGAATGTTTTAAAGGGGTCATATAATGCCATTTTTGTACAAGCTAATATGATTCTTTAGGGTCTAAATTAAAAGTTTGTAATATACTTTAATTAAAAATTCTCATTAGTATTGTAAGAAAACACTTATTTTACCTGGTAAAAAACAGCTCTGTTTTCAGCACGCTGTTTCAGTGCATATGCCTTTAAATGATCATGAGCTTTGCTGACTCCGCCTCTCTGTTCTATGCGTACACCAGAGCCGGCTCTGGCGTACACCGTTTGTAACACAATAACACAATAACCATAACACGTTGTTCAGTATAAACGTGGGATTATGCATTATATTGAGAACGTCATACATAGAAAACATGCCGTAATGTACCCTGAGTGTAAACCTTAGACGCATTCATCGTGAAGCGTGCAAGCGAATTTACAAGGATTAATATAAATATTAATATAAAGTTTAATAAAACGTTACACTCACTTCAGTTCTTCTGGAGCAGCTGCAGGAACACGAATAGATGGTACCGATCCTTTCAGGAGCAGCTTCTTAGCAAAACCAGCTTTATACCTCCTCGTTTATAAAGCAGTCTGGTGTGTGAAATGATTCGCGCAAACATGAGAGCATTGACGTTGCTCGTGGGGAATATTCCCTTCGAAAACAAACTCAGCCACTGCGTCTTCAGCGGTTCGGATTTAGGAACATTAAAATGACTGCTGTGTTCGTTATTACACCCAAGAACAGAACACCACAATCGCTTAGACGCCATTCTGCTCATAGACAGCTCCAGCATATCAACAATGACCGCGCCGGTCCGCGCAGACTATGATTGACAGCTCCCTCATGAGCGAGGGCGGGTCTGTGTTGAAACACAGCTGTCAATCAACAATCGTGGGAGGGGCGTGCGAGCTTGTGACGTCACAGGCTCGAACGGCTCGATTTGAGGTAGGGGAAAACATATAAGGAGATTAAAACAAAACCACTGCATGGATTTTTATCATTATATGATGGCTGTGTACAGGCACTGCCAACACACATTTCAGTACAATCAACTTGTAAAAGTGCATGTACCATTATATGACCCCTTTAAGTAAAATATTTAGTGTTTAAAACAATGCAATACAATTATGATTTTTATTGTTTTATTACACACAACACTCAAATATCTCAGACTGTGTGTCAAAAGTGCAAAATTGCAACAAATACAACATTGCAAGAACAAAATATACATCCAACGTAAATTGCATGTATAGACTTTTTCTCAAAAATACAGATTGTGAGATGGTTGCATTTTGGCAAGAAAATACATTGAACAACCGCTCATATGTGGCACTGACAATGCACGTTAAACTCGCTCACATGCAGTGATGGAGCTCGCAGAATTTACTGTGAAAGAAGAACCTGAATCACAAGCTGCTTGTGAGCACAGTTCGGTTCGCTCTGAAACCAGTCACTCACAACAAATCTATACACCAATTTAATTAGATCAAAGCCTTTGTCGTGCGATAAAAAAAACTAAGATTACATTTTTTGTTCAACTGACAAACACGATGACGCAAACTTTAGTTGTCTTTTATGTTCATTACCAAACTGGCGGACAGATCATGGCGGTTCAATGTAATTAAACCAGAAATAGAAATTTGATGTAACATAGAGAGCAACAAAGCAGGATAATTAATACATTTAAAATGGCCATTAATCACCTGTATGTGCGTCCTTAAATTTTTGCTTGAGGTCTTCTGTACGTCAGTGAACCGTTAGCCGCAAGATGCGTGATTAAACAACAGGTGGCGGTAATGGCAAAAAAAGTTAGTTTGTAATCTAACAAGAAGAAGAATATCCTTGCATCGCGCTGATTCGCGCAGGCTCAACAACACGCAATGTAGCTTTTGCTCGCGCTACACCGCTACTTGCTGCAAAAAGTAGTTAGCTACTGGAAAAGCTACACTGTTTAAAAAGCAACTGAGCTACTGCCAAGCTACTGGAAAATGTAATTAAGTTAGTAGCGTCGCTACTTGTAATTAACTACTCCCCAACACTGTAAATAACATTAACTTGAAATGGAAATAACACATTATGAGCTAAAATTAGCCCAGTGTTCAGTCAGTGTGAGCAGAATTTGGGTTCAATTATGTAACCCAACCCTTCTGGGTTAAAACGTTTAACCCAACTTGCTGAGTTATTTTAACCAAGAATTTGTTATGTCCGATATTTACCCAGCTAGTGCTGGGTTAACCCAGCCATTTTTGGAGAGTAGGATCTGTAGAATGTAGAATAACAAAACTGTTAAAGGAACACTCCGACTTTTTGGGACTTTAGCCTATTCACCTTATCCCCCAGAGTTAGATAAGTCCATACATACCTTTTTCATCTCCGTGCGTGCTATAAGTCTGTTTGACGCACCCACCGCTAGCCTAGCTTAGCACAAAGACTGCATGTAAATGGTTGCAGCTAGCATACTAATCCAAATAAGTGACAAAATAACGCAAACATTTTCCTATTTACATGTTGTGATTTGTATAGTCACAGAGTGTACAAAAAACAAAGTCACATGAGACACAGACACATTTTAACCGTATAAATACTGGGAACTATATTCTCTGAAGGCGAAGCGATAACCGCAGCACCTGAGACGCGCTCTCTGCTCCTCACCACGGCTCGTCTCAGGTGCTGCGGTTATCACTCCGCCCGAGTAGCAGTGCTTCGCCTTCAGAGAATATAGTTCCCAGTATTTATACGGTTAAAATATGTCTGTGTCTCATGTGACTTTGTTTTTTGTACACTCTGTGACTATACAAATCACAACATGTAAATAGGAAAATGTTTGCGTTATTTTGTCACTTATTTGGATTAGTATGCTAGCTGCAACCATTTACATCCAGTCTTTGTGCTAAGCTAGGCTAGCGGTGGGTGCGTCAAACAGACTTATAGCACGCACGGAGATGAAAAAGGTATGTATGGACTTATCTAACTCTGGGGGATAAGGTGAATAGGCTAAAGTCCCAAAAAGTCGGAGTGTTCCTTTAACAAAAGAAAATGATTTCTTGTTACAGTTTAATTGATTTATCTCAAACAATAACGTCAATGTTAGAAATTTCCGTGAGCATGTGTGTGAGACAACATTCGAGATATGTTAACAAAGAGCAGAATGGATTACTAGGAATAGGAAATTATTGCGTAATTATCTAAATGCTTCTGGAGAAGTACTGGGAGGGAGACAAAGCGCTTTTTCACAGCTGACCCAACCTGCTAAGTTTCTAATTCCCTTTTTCTTAGTAACTGTTATAGTTCCTTGGGGACGTCACAACAAGTCCTAAACCCAACCCTTTTCTGAACAGACATAAAAGAAACTGAAGCATTACTTCTGTTCAGTCATTCAGCTCCTGACACAAGATGAATCTGCAGGTCTCCATCGTTCTTCTTTTCTTTTCTCTCACTGGAGGTACAGAAAACAGCAAGTGTTGAAATTTATTATTTGCTGATCACACTGTAGAGCGCTAACTAAATGTCTTTCTCTGTATGTAAGGTTATTCTCTCAAGTGTTACCTCTGCACATCTGTTTTGACGGGTTCCTGTGGAGTAAATGTGACATGTCCAGATGGACTTGCTACATGTTTCAGCACTACGGTTGGAACACCCATCGGTAAGTCCAGTATAATGTGGAAATCTGCCTTATAAGTGATACCACTAGAGAGAAAGTTTCCACTTGTAAACTTCTAATCTTGGAATTGTTTTATTATCTTATTATATGGACATGTATGTCTTTTCTACAGGTTCCTCCACAACTAAAGGGTGCATAGCTCAATGTGTACCAGGGACTGTAGAGGTTTTCGGAGTGAAAACGACTACGAGCTGCTGTAACACTGATCTTTGCAATGCTGCAGGTATTGGCCTTTGTTTGATCATGCGCTAGCAGTTTGATTTCATCCACAGTAACTTCAAATAAGGAACTCCCGCACACTATCAGTACTTGCAAGTAATAAAAAATATATATATATTAGTTTCAGTCTCACGACCTTCATCAGGCATGAATTTTTTATATATATATATATATATATATATATATATATATATATATACACTCACCTAAAGGATTATTAGGAACACCATACTAATACTGTGTTTGACCCTTAATTCTACGTGGCATTGATTCAACAAGGTGCTGAAAACATTCTTTAGAAATGTTGGCCCATATTGATAGGATAGCATCTTGCAGTTGATGGAGATTTGTGGGATGCACATCCAGGGCACGAAGCTCCCGTTCCACCACATCCCAAAGATGCTCTATTGGGTTGAGATCTGGTGACTGTGGGGGCCATTTTAGTACAGTGAACTCGTTGCCATGTTCAAGAAACCAATTTGAAATAATTCGAGCTTTATGACATGGTGCATTCTCCTGCTGGAAGTAGCCATCAGAGGATGGGTACATGGTGGCCATAAAGGGATGGACATGGTCAGAAACAATGCTCAGGTAGGCCGTGGCATTTAAACAATGCCCAATTGGCACTAAGGGGCCTAAAGTGTGCCAAGAAAACATCCCCCACACCATTACACCACCACCACCAGCCTACACAGTGGTAACAAGGCATGATGGATCCATGTTCTCATTCTGTTTACGCCAAATTCTGACTCTTCCCATCTGAATGTCTCAACAGAAATCGATACTCATCAGACCAGGCAACATTTTTCCAGTCTTCAACTGTCCAATTTTGGTGAGCTCTTGCAAATTGTAGCCTCTTTTTCCTATTTGTAGTGGAGATGAGTGGTACCCGGTGGGGTCTTCTGCTGTTGTAGCCCATCCGCCTCAAGTTTGTGCGTGTTGTGGCTTCACAAATGCTTTGCTGCATACCTCGGTTGTAACGAGTGGTTATTTCCGTCAAAGTTGCTCTTCTATCAGCTTGTATCAGTCGGCCCATTCTCCTCTGACCTCTAGCATCAACAAGGCATTTTCCCTTTTCACACCATTCTTTGTAAACCCTAGAAATGGTTGTGCATGAAAATCCCAGTAACTGAGCAGATTGTGAAATACTCAGACCGGCCCGTCTGGCACCAACAACCATGCCACGCTCAAAATTGCTTAACCTGTTAAGCTTCACCAGAGCGCAGGCGCTCTGAAGCGTTTTTTTTTTAAATAGTTCAAAGTTACTATCATATTTAATGTTATTACCTTGACAAACTATACATCATTAAAAAGATATAAGACTCAAGTTTCAGTATTTGACCACTATTGTATTCTGAGAAACTTATAGTGACAGTTATGTCTTAATTTGTGTCAGGAGTTATGAAATTAAAAAATGAGTCGTTACCTTTAATATGAATTATGAGCGTCAGGCGCTGTCATTCAGAAAAAAACTCCTGTGCGATCGTCATGACAGCGCTTGACAAAACAACGTCCCCCAGGGCTTTTAGCTCAAACGTGCAGATTTGGAGAAATATTGATAGATTCTCATAGGTTTACATCAGATTTCTATAGACAGGAATAATATTTATTGAATTTATACCCAAATGCGTCGATGTAATCATTATGAGCGCTGTATACTCTGATGTACTGTGTTTTCAATTCATACCAGTAGCCCGAGGGCGCTGTATGCACGTATGCAGTCCATATATGGATCACATGAAGAAGAGCCATAATCATGTGACATTCCAGGAACAGCCTGACATAACAAAGCTATCAGAGATCGCTGTAAAGTGCAGATAAAGATGTTTTGAAGACAATAAACATGATTGCAATGATATTTGATTTACCTGTGTTCTTCGAGCCATGTCAGGTATTTTCATAATAATAGATTATATGTATAATGTAATGCTAATCGATATAGACTTTATCATTGTGCAGAATACTATAAAATAATATATTTTCTATCTGATTTTTTTATCTGAAGCCAAATCAGATCACAGAAAGTTATTTAAAACACTCGACTTGCGTTATAAAGTAAGTTCGGAGCACAAACATGGTTTTAATCTCATAAATTGTCGTGTATTGATGGTGTGCTAAGCTAACATGCTAGCTAGCTCTGTGCACCTGCCACCTAACTTCGCTGTAATTTTTTATGATTTTTTTCTAAATAAGAATGCTTACTGAAATGTTTCTTTTTTCAAAAAGGGCATTTGATACAGTTTCACTGTGAAGTGAGAACTTTTATAAAAGAAATGAGGGATTGAAACAGTGTGAATTGCTAGTCGTTAGTGATTATAATGCAGACAAAAGAAAAGCATATTTCGAGCCATAACCAGGCTGGAGAGGTGTGAATGTTGTGCAGGGGAGACTGACACTGAATGGGGCTCGTTTGCACCACAAAACAATAGAGGCAATAGACTGAATAGATGCTTAGAAGATGACAATAAACATCAGTTTGCATTTTAGAGTCTAATCAAAATAAAGTCATATGACATGATCTTGAAAAACATTTAACTAAATGCAGAGTTTTAGACTCATCTTCTTCAGATTTTAAATATAACATGGTCAGACATGTGGCTTTAGCTGCAGTGCATTTCTGGATTGCTACAATGCCAACTTCGATTTTATTTTCATGAAGATGTTTCATAAAAATAAATGTATAATAACTTTACAAAACTTTGAAGCTATTTATAACTATTTTTTTTTCATTATGACAATAATTAATTCTACATTTACAATAAACTTCCAGGTGTCAGCTTTCAAATGAGATCATACTTGTGCTTTTAGTACAAAGGGTTCATGAACTGTATCTGTTTCAGTTTGGGTATGCCATATCTGCGGATTTTTCAAAAGTGGGGTTGCAGCTTAACAAGTTAAATCACCTTTCTTTCCCATTCTGACATTCAGTTTGGAGTTCAGGAGATTGTCTTGACCAGGACCACACCCCTAAATGCATTGAAGCAACTGCCATGTAATTGGCTGATTAGATAATTGCATTAATGAGAAATTGAACAGGTGTTCCTAATAATCCTTTAGGTGAGTGTATATTACTTGCAAGTACTTATTTTGTGCGGGAGTTCCTTATTGGCAGATTTGTCGACCTACCTATTTGGTCTTTTTTTTTCTACGCACCTATCACCTGCAGGTGTGCGATGGCGTTTGTTAATTGACCGTTCACAAAAGCCACGCCCCCTAGTTATTGTTACTACGTCCGTCAAACAAATAGTTAAACACGACCAGCGCGACAGATTGCCATGACGGCAGGTATACCTGTGCGTGTTAAGCTATAAATGTAGCTATAAGGAGAAGCTTATGAATTAGTCTAGCACTTTCAGAGTTTTTATTGTTTTTAAATTTTTTTTACAAATTTCGACAATGATCGACAATGAACGTAGTTTTCATAACTATTATTATTATTATTATTATTTGTATTATCAGTGGAGCGTTATACTAATGTCCTTCCTGTCTTGATTAGATGGAGTGTATAAGGGAAGCTTCCTCTTGCTGGTGTCTCCTCTGCTCTTCTACTTCCTGTTTCAGTGAGTTCAGCTGAACTTCAGATTCTTCAGCAAAGACCATCAAACAAACTCAATATGAGACACAATCTGAATAAAGCTTGTTTGTTGCTGTGCTGTTCTTTGGTGTAAGGAACTGAAAATCTGTACTTTTTTAACATTACAAAATAACTGCATTAAAACTACCACATTAATTTTCTTTGCATAAATGAAAAGTTATTATAGAATGTTCTTTGCCGTTTTAAAAAGTGTGATGAACGTCTGTAATAAAATATTTACTCATGTCTATTAAACATCTATCTCAGTGAGTGACTGGATTTTATTTTTATTTTATTTTTTGCTTCAATTAGTAAGCGTCATGGGTGGTAGTATATACAGTAAGTAGAGCACGAAGACAAAGACTACAAGAACACAAGCCCTGTGTTAGACCTGCTGCTACTGTGATTTACAAGCTTAGATGTGGGCCAAGGAAGGATGTTGAAACTCATGTGCTGAAAGGGCACAGCAAAATTACCTTCAACCTTATGTTGAAGGTAAGGTTTAGGTTAACATCACATTAGCCAAACAAGTTAGCCAGCTACCTCTGCCTTGCTGATTGAAATACCGGTACATCTGTTTATCCAATTTAATTGTTGTAAACACATGGAAGACATTTATGTGAGCATGCAATGGCTGGCCCAGGGTGTCCATAGCAGAGGTGTTCACCAACACGGCTGACGCCCCCCTGGCGCCCACCTGTTCAACAGCACCATCCTACCGGCCATGCTGTACGGGGCCGAGACCTGTTCGCTGACCGCGGCTGACAGGCAGAAGCTGGCAGTGACCGAACGCGCCCTTTAGCGGCTGATGTAAAAAAATCACCTTCAGTTAACACCTTCTGAGAGAGCAGGAGACCATTTGCCTGGAAGACACACCCTTCTCTAAACTCTTAAATACCTTATTACCTTTTGGTTTACTTCTTTGAGAATGAGACCTTTGCACCAGTCACACTGAGACATTTCAAATGATATGTCACCGGGTGAACAAACCGGGAACCAAAGAATGGTTGACTTGTTTCCAGGGGGAAGAAATGCCGGTGTAACACCGGGCCGGCTCTGTTTTTACCCGTCATGGCCGCCGATCATAACAAGCGCCAGCTGAAGCCCGTGAGTAGCGCTTCATTGAAGCATGTGCCGGGAAGAAAGGAGTATAAAGAGAGGGGCTCGACGCATAGTAAGAGGTGAAGAAATGCTCTGGCAGTAGGAAAGCTCCATAGGAGTGCTCAAGTGGATTGTAGCAGTGGCAGTGAGCAGCGGCGAGTGCAGGAAGCAGAGGTTTAAGACCTGATCGGTGTTCCATGTTGATTCCCCTGAAGACATGCGCATTAAGTGAGTCTTTTAAAGAAACCACGAACAGCAACGCAACGAAGTAAGTGAGAAAACTTCACAGAGGAAGACGGAGAGTGACTGGCAGTAAAGAGAGTGGAAACCCGCTGCAGGATTCACGTGATTCACCGAGGAAAAGTTAAGTGCACCCCTTTATGATTCACCTTTTGGAGAAAAACACATGTGAAGATTGCCATCACCAGTGTACGACTAACCTGTGTTTGTGGGCAGAGTGTGTTATCCTGTTGACAGTAACAGTAGCGGCTGGGAAGATCGCTGAATCCATGTTTATCTTCTGAGTCCAATATTCTGTGGTTCATACATCCTATGAAGAAAAGAGAAACGAGTTGATTAATCGCTGTGAAGATAGAGTGAGTTTGCAGTGTCTAAAAGAGTGAATTAAACACGTGTGGAGATTTACAAGAGTGATTTATGCACGAGTGTGGTGAGATCAAACAACTGTCTTCTCTGAGTTTCTGAAGGATGAAATTGACCTATAACTTTGAAGATTCTTTCGAATTGATCTGTCCCCTCAGCTGTGTCCAGGTCCCTGAGATCATGTGCAGGGTGCAGGGGAGAAAAAGCTTAAAGGTGCTCTAAGCGATGTCACGCGTTTTTTAGGCCAAAACATTTTTTGTCACATACAGCAAACATCTCCTCACTATCCACTGGCTGCCTGTCCCCTGAACACACTGTAAAGAAACGCGATCTCTGTAGACAGCCCAGGCTCCACAAACAGCAACAAAAGCAAACTGCGGCGACCCGCTCCACGAAACATAACAAACTGTTCCAGCCAATGACCGACAAGAAGGGTTTGGGGGCAGGGTTTGGGGGGTTAGTGTGCGGATGAGGAGGAGGGAGGGTCTAGCTAGCCTCCGTTTTGTTTGACAATAGTTCGAACGTCAACAAGAAGTGATGTCACCCAGGATCGCTTAGAGAACCTTTAATACACCTTTAAAGCCACTGTCTGTCCCACGAGCGGATTCAACGAGTCTGACGACGAGAAAAGCCACTGTCTGTCCCACGAGCTGATTCAACGAGTCTGACGACGAGAAAAGCCACTGTCTGTCCCATGAGCCGATTCAACGAGTCTGACGACGAGAAAAGCCACTGTCTGTCCCACGAGCTGATTCAACGAGTCTGACGACGAGAAAAGCCACTGTCTGTCCCACGAGCTGATTCAACGAGTCTGACGACGAGAAAAGCCACTGTCTGTCCCACGAGCCGATTCAACGAGTCTGACGACGAGAAAAGCCACTGTCTGTCCCACGAGCTGATTCAACGAGTCTGACGACGAGAAAAGCCACTGTCTGTCCCACGAGCTGATTCAACGAGTCTGATGACGAGAAAAGCCACTGTCCGTCCCACAAGCTGATTCAACGAGTCTGACGACGAGAAAAGCCACTGTCCGTCCCACGAGCTGATTCAACGAGTCTGACGACGAGAAAAGCCACTGTCTGTCCCACGAGCTGATTCAACGAGTCTGACGACGAGAATAAGCCACTGTCTGTCCCACGAGCTGATTCAACGAGTCTGACGACGAGAAAAGCCACTGTCTGTCCCACGAGCTGATTCAACGAGTCTGACGACGAGAAAAGCTACTGTCTGTCCCACGAGCCGATTCAACGAGTCTGACGACGAGAAAAGCCACTGTCTGTCCCACGAGCTGATTCAACGAGTCTGACGACGAGAAAAGCCACTGTCTGTCCCACGAGCCGATTCAACGAGTCTGACGACGAAAAAAGCCACTGTCTGTCCCACGAGCTGATTCAACGAGTCTGACGACGAAAAAAGCCACTGTCTGTCCCACGAGCTGATTCAACGAGTCTGACGACGAGAAAAGCCACTGTCCGTCCCACGAGCTGATTCAACGAGTCTGACGACGAGAAAAGCCACTGTCTGTCCCACGAGCTGATTCAACGAGTCTGACGACGAGAATAAGCCACTGTCTGTCCCACGAGCTGATTCAACGAGTCTGACGACGAGAAAAGCCACTGTCTGTCCCACGAGCTGATTCAACGAGTCTGACGACGAGAAAAGCTACTGTCTGTCCCACGAGCCGATTCAACGAGTCTGACGACGAGAAAAGCCACTGTCTGTCCCACGAGCTGATTCAACGAGTCTGACGACGAGAAAAGCCACTGTCTGTCCCACGAGCCGATTCAACGAGTCTGACGACGAAAAAAGCCACTGTCTGTCCCACGAGCTGATTCAACGAGTCTGACGACGAAAAAAGCCACTGTCTGTCCCACGAGCCGATTCAACGAGTCTGACGACGAGAAAAGCCACTGTCTGTCCCACGAGCTGATTCACAAGTCTGACGACGACAAAAGCTACTGTCTGTCCCACGAGCCGATTCAACGAGTCTGACGACGAGAAAAGCCACTGTCTGTCCCACGAGCTGATTCAACGAGTCTAACGACGAGAAAAGCCACTGTCTGTCCCACGAGCTGATTCAACGAGTCTGACGACGAGAAAAGCCACTGTCTGTCCCACAAGCCGATTCAACGAGTCTGACGACGAGAAAAGCCACTGTCTGTCCCACGAGCTGATTCAACGAGTCTGACGACGAGAAAAGCCACTGTCTGTCCCACGAGCCGATTCAACGAGTCTGACGACGAAAAAAGCCACTGTCTGTCCCACGAGCTGATTCAACGAGTCTGACGACGAGAAAAGCCACTGTCTGTCCCACGAGCCGATTCAACGAGTCTGACGACGAGAAAAGCCACTGTCTGTCCCACGAGCTGATTCAACGAGTCTGACGACGAAAAAAGCCACTGTCTGTCCCACGAGCCGATTCAACGAGTCTGACGACGAGAAAAGCCACTGTCTGTCCCACGAGCCGATTCAACGAGTCTGACGACGAGAAAAGCCACTGTCTGTCCCACGAGCTGATTCAACGAGTCTGACGACGAGAAAAGCCACTGTCTGTCCCACGAGCCGATTCAACGAGTCTGACGACGAGAAAAGCCACTGTCTGTCCCACGAGCCGATTCAACGAGTCTGACGACGAGAAAAGCCACTGTCTGTCCCACGAGCTGATTCAACGAGTCTGACGACGAGAAAAGCCACTGTCTGTCCCACGAGCTGATTCAACGAGTCTGACGACGAGAAAAGCCACTGTCTGTCCCACGAGCTGATTCAACGAGTCTGACGACGAGAAAAGCCACTGTCTGTCCCACGAGCTGATTCAACGAGTCTGACGACGAGAAAAGCCACTGTCTGTCTCACGAGCTGATTCAACGAGTCTGACGACGAGAAAAGCCACTGTCTGTCTCACGAGCTGATTCAACGAGTCTGACGACGAGAAAAGCCACTGTCTGTCCCACGAGCTGATTCAACGAGTCTGACGACGAGAAAAGCCACTGTCTGTCCCACGAGCTGATTCAACGAGTCTGACGACGAGAAAAGCCACTGTCTGTCCCACGAGCTGATTCAACGAGTCTGACGACGAGAAAAGTCACTGTCTGTCCCACGAGCTGATTCAACGAGTCTGACGACGAGAAAAACCACTGTCTGTCTCACGAGCTGATTCAACGAGTCTGACGACGAGAAAAGCCACTGTCTGTCCCACGAGCCGATTCAACGAGTCTGACGACGAGAAAAGCCCATGCCTGTTCCTGCTTTTATTCTTTTATAAATTTAATAAATACTTACCTTTTTAACTTACCTTGGTTGTCTGCCTCTGGTGTCTGCTCCTCCGGAGTGTGGTAAATAACCCTTGGCCTTAACATCGGTGACAGATATCCAACATGTGTAATACCGTATGATAATTATTCACAGTAACCCATATAGATTTTTGGGTGAATTTCAGGTGATCTCAGCATGATAGTACAAGAGAGAAATTCAAATGTTAATTTCCTTCT